CTTAATTATACACGCATAAGAATAGTTTTACTTAACCCAATTCTTTCATATCAATAATTTCGTAAATAAATGCAAATTATATGTAAGCTGAAGAAACACTGCGCGAATACTTTCATTTTCAAATACCTGCAAGATCTAGTATCGCTTTTTGGTCATTGATTGTGAAATTAACAAGTGAAATATGTTCTATTGCGTCGCACGCGCAAAATGACTGATCAATGATCGCGTTTTCATAGCTATGCGTCTATGCGTATACAGTAAGTCATATACGCATTAATAACATTGAGTTCTCACGCTAAAATTCCATTGCTTAACAAATCCCGCACCCGCCAACTCGAGCACAAACAGCCTTCCTTTCAAAAAGGTCATAGATAAGTAGGTCCACCATAAAGAAAATTCCAAACCAGTTTTTTTTTTTTTTTTTTTTTTTTTTTTGTACTCTTAAATTAGAATTTCGGTCCGTTTATTAAGATGTTTTTTGTAAATATTAATAATTCCTATTCATTACTTTTTTTTTTTATAATACATAATAAATGAAAGTTAATTAGACTTAAATTTTCAAATCTCTATTGAATAACTAAGTCGTTCTACATGTCACAAGAGTTCTTTCTATTGAGTAAATATAGTAAAGCATGATTTGAAAATTTGCATTGCCCGTATTAATGAAGCTATGTATAAATGCAGTAATAGAAGAAGCAAGTGATAATCAAAACTACAATAAAAACTATATAGCATTAAAGATTGTACATTATGTTTTTATAAATTGTACAATTAATTAAAAATAATTTATAAAATCTTGTAATAAAAATTTATTATACGTTTCATTTTTCGATGTAATATAATAAAATAAAATATGGAAAAAGAATTGTTTTATTAATGATTGTTTATTTACTATTTAATTAAAATTCAATGACTTATGGAAGTTCATATCAAGTTTCGACTTTTGCTCGAATACTACTTCAAGTGTAGGTGTTATTTTGTATTTATCGAGTCAATTTAATTTAAATATAATTTAACTGATTTTATAATAAAATATGAATAATGGCAACTTGGATTTAAATATTAGACAAAATTTTACAATCATCAATTTAAAATTCTTTTGATTAGCAGTTTTATATAAAAACTTTTCAATCTCTTATTCTAATAATAAATAACATTTAGCGTAATTAATGTAATAAAGTAAAACATGTTTCATAGAAGTAATATTAATGTTAAAAAAGCATTATAACTTAGTATTATATAATATAGAGTATATGCTAACGTGGATAACAATATTATAATAAAGAGATGAAAGCAATAAATTATTATATACTTGCACAATGTCTCATAACAAAAGTTCTCTGAAAATATCTTCCTTTTATCAATGCGGTAGTAAGAAAATTTAATATGCAAGCTGCAATGAAAATTATACTAACACTAATTGTAATTTTCCTAATTTCTACAAATATCTATCGTAAAAAAAGATACGCGTTACTAAATTAATTTGCTTGGAACATTTATAAATAAGTAAAGTAAAATCTATCAATTAAGGCTCTAATAATTTTTATTATCGATATATTATTAATACATCTTAGAATATCAATATAATATTATTTTCTAAAATTTTATATGATTATCTTGCAATTAGATATATTATAAAATATTAAAATTCATAGTAAAAAATAAAAATTATCGCAATCATTTATTGACATTAATATATATATATATATATATATATATATATATATATATATTAATGTCAATAAATGATTGCGATAATTTTTATTTTTTACTATGAATTTTAATAAACTGTAATTTCACCATTATTAATATGTATTTATAAATTATTTCAAACAAACGTCCTTATGAGAATAATTATGGTTAATTAAATCACATAAAAGGAAAATAGTTTTATACTATTTCAAAATTATTGTTATAAAGAATATCATATTTATCTTATCATATCATGAATTGCGGGCGTTACCTCTTAGCATCGTGAACTTTCAGTAGTAAGAGGCGACGAATCACGAGACATTGCATAAAAAATTATTGCAATATGTTACACAACACTTTTTACTTAGCGTGCGGAAAATAAATGGTGTCTATTCAGACATTTTTCTAACTGCTATCATTAATGCATAAGTAAATATTATTTTAATTTGCATCGGATATGAAAAATACTTTTTAAAGAAATGTATTAATAAAGTGCTTATTAAATTAAATATAATGAAAAAATAAGTAGATTTATACTAGAGATATGAAGAACTTTTGGAAAAAAATATTTTTTCAATTATAATTTCATGAGCTCCGCATATAAAATATACTATTATATTATTATATTGTTTTCGCAGATATTTCGATCATGTAAATCCATAAAAATATTGCATACAACTGATATAATCTGATTTTGAAACGTCACAATTCGTTTAATAATTCCAACCTACTTTTATTACTTGTATGTTATTCTACAAACATCAATTTTTGTATTAAAAAAAAAACAAACAGAAATTTGAGCGAAACTTCCCTAAAACTACAAATTTACCATTCGTATAATATATGTCTACGTAAATTATTGTTCAATAATATGAATAATATTAAAATTACTAGGTATAGTAATTTAAATTATCATGATTCATTAGTTTTATCATGTGTAATAATGAAAGGTATTACAAAAATCTAATCTTCAAAGAAAGTTAATAACAACTTGAAAGAAGTTTGATTCAAAATAAACGTAACTGAACTTACTATGCAGACTTATTAAATGATATAAAACAAGTTGCTTCGAGTTTTGTGTCTACCCACTCAGATTTTCTCAATTTCTCTATCGTCGATTTGTTTTATTTCAAGGTCAATTCTAAAGTCATATATATATATATATATATATATATATATATATACAATCTTACATTTATATTTAAATCGTATCGTGATATTTATAATCATAAATTTATTTTGGATCTTGAAATATAAATGAAATATTACCGATATGGTTATCTTTTAATTTAGGTTTCGATCTACATATAAGAATAACATAAATTTATTAAAAAATTATAATTACTTTTCCTATTTATTAATGTAATCTTAAATTAATACAAATTATAATTTATCAGAAAAAAGTCTGAAATAGAATATTTTAAATTAACATACGTTTAAAAATTTTATAAGTTGTAATAATTTCATGTAAACATATTAACATATTATACATAAATTTTAATATCATTCATCCTGGAATTAAATTTAATTATTGATTTTATGATTCAGTTTATTGATTAATCTTCTGATTAATGATTAATTAATCAAATTGTTTTATAGAGAACATTAAATATTGCCAAAAATTATGTAAATATTTTATATATTAAAACTTAAAACCTATATATTGTAATATGTTAGTTAAAATAATTTAAATTATCACATACTTTTATAAATATATTTTATTTTACTTTCTATAATAAAATATTTAAAAAAATTTTATTTGATTGAATTGATAAGTAGTAGTAGTAGTAAACAATATAATATGTAGTAATATAATAATGTACGATAATTTGTTGAAAATTCTATTGTATGATGTTTAAAGTATTTATGAAAATAGCAAATAAGAATAATTTATTGATATTTTTAATATACTTTTGTATTTGCTGTAATACATTAATAATTTGAAATTATGTTTATTAATCTTTCCCGTTAAATGTATCTTATAAGGCAATATGTATTTTAATACGCCGAATACTTAATACAAGTTACTGATTATCATTTATATAACAATTTGACTCTCTTATTTAATTTATTTCTTTCATTAATCAAAAATTTATTTCTTCTATATAAAGTTGAGCAGAAATTTTAAATCATTATTTATTTTTTTATGGAAATATTTACAATATTAAACTCAACTCAATTGTGAATAGTAAGTAAGCATAATAGTTTTTCATATTTTCAAGGATTCATTCAGCACATATGACAATTATTTTACAAAATGAATATTAATTAATTATATATTGATACAATGATACATTTAAACTCTTTTGTTTTTGTTTTGTTTTTTAAATAAATTCTCCTCTTATTTTAGATGTTAATATTGTTAATGTACATAATTCCTTGAATCATGTACGTGAATAAAAAACTTGAACGACATACAAAATGTTGTACAAATTTTTTCGTTTTATTCTAAAGAAACTTCTTTCCTGCTTCTACGTTTATAATAATAAAAGCTAGTCCATTGTTACAGGGTAATATATTTTCATTTAAATAAATAAATAAATAAATGAAAATTTACTAATAATTTCATTTTATGGGTAAATATTTGAAGTTGCTGTAATATGTTATGGCGTAGGAATAAATTACTTTCAGATGACTTGTGTATTTCAAATGTAATAAATAAGACAATTTTACGTGATTTACTTAACATTTTTTCAAAGCATTTATTTAGCCGACAATTATATTATTGCAGCCTTTTATCTTCTTTTCTATGCAATATATCATGAAACTACAAGTTGAAGCTATTTTATTCTACCGTCAATATTCTCATGAGCATATATTAGATATTTCATTAGATCATAAGTAGAAAAATACTGTCTAATGTTCATGAATCGTCATTTGGAGAAATATTAGGTACATACAACCACGCGATATTATTATGTCTCGTGTGTTATGTAGAGTAGAAATAATTGTGCGAATTTCTATGATGCTCGTTTCTACTCTTCTGCTAAACTATTCGCGTGCCATTATTTGAGTGCATCAAGTGAGAATCTACCAAATTAATTTATGTTCATGTTCATGTGACCACTATTCACGTGTTCACCAATATTCATGCGAATATTGCCGATGATATGGCTATTGGCATAATATAAATGAAATAAAATAAATATCAAATTGTTAAAAGACATCAACTCCAAGTACGAGAATTCTCGTATCTGTCGATCACCACCACAAATAAATATCAAGCAGGACAACGAACTTATTGCCATAATCAACAAACTGCTCGAGCTCCTACCAATCATTCTGTTTGCTTGACTCATTACAGATCAAAAGCTGAAGATGGCATCGGCAGCTGCTGAATTGGTCGTAAAGCGCGAGCCGGAACCGCGACATGACGTTGTCGTTGACGCTAACCGTACGATAACCGGGGCGGAGGGTTTGGTGCGTATGGCCCTCGACCAGTACACCGAGATCCTCACCACAATTTCGGATCCACGTGTAAGCGACTGGCCGCTGATGAACGCACCGATACCCACTGTCCTCATCGTCCTCATCTATCTCTATAGTGTAACGATCCTTGGGCCAAGGCTCATGGCCAACCGCAAGCCCTTTCAACTGAGGAACGTCCTTATCGCTTACAACGCCTTCCAAGTCATATTTTCTCTCGGCATGTTGTACGAGGTACGCTTCAATTACCCTTACACTTCTCTCTTCATAATCCTTCCATCGATACGCTTTAATGTGTCGTCCATTCACACGTCCATATGGAGTGGAGAAGCGTACTTAGAGCGATGTGTTTTGGAAGCTGATTCCGATGACAGCTCGAAACGTAAATCGCACAATTTATTTGGCATTTTGAAGATAAGATTTCCATGAAATAATATGCAATTATGCATTTTCACGTTCATTATCAGGAGGATCAAGGTAGCCAACGCTTTCTACATCGAAATCTTGCATTGCATCTTGGAGAATCTCAGAGAAATTTCACGTCTAATTTACTCAGAGAAATGAGGCCACTAATCATTTTCAAAGAAAAACTACCGAGAACGTTTTATGCTTTCACACAAGTTGCAGATCACAAGCAGATAATATATTCAGACTTAGCAGGACTCGAGTCGATTATATGTGTATTCAATTTTATGCTAGTCATTTGTAAAAAGAAAGCAATTTAACTTTATGGTACAATTAGTTTCGTTTGAATGTACATTTAATGAGATGTGCACGAAATTTATTTCAATGACATTTACTTTAACTAGTGAAAAAAGTCGGAAACAGCTTTAAATGATTAATTATTTGTTAGGATGGCACTATTATCTTTCTAATACATTTACATAATAATTGACAAAAAATTAATATATGATGCGTGTAACACGTTACGTTTTTAAACTGAAATATAATTCTTCACAAATATAAACTTTGCAACCTATTTTTACAGCTTTCTCCAAGGCAACATTTTATATCAAATCGCACTATTTAATATTGAAAATTCAAATTAATTATTATTCTATACATTCGAAAATTTATCCTTCAATCATAAAAATTATTTTTCGACAATTTTCAGATTATAAATTATAGCCTATAATGAAAAGTCCAACTTGACATATACTAAAATAATAATAATTAAATTATAAATATTTTATAAATATTTACAAATATAAAATATTTACCTATAATATGTAGCTCTAAGTGTTTCTATAGCTGTTAAGTGCTTCAATCAATAAGAAGTTTATTTCAATTGAAATTTATTGTAATTTTAGTTTAATTACACTATATATAATTGTATATATATATATATATATATATATATATATATATATATATATAATTTAACTTAGTTATATTAACTAAAGCTCTATTGATACATACAAAAATACTTCATAAATAAGGAAATATCGAAAAATATTTACATATTAATCAAAAGCTTCTCTACAATTTCCGACAATTAATTTATCGATCAAAACACGATGGAAAGTAGGTTAGTGACTGAGATACAAACGTCTTTAATCGTTCGTAAATTTCAAAGGAGAGTAAAACATTAAATAACGGAAACGATCGCTGCCAGATATTTCTGCTATTTTCTGGTGTAGTTTTATTTATTTCAATACATTATAAAAATACGTAAGATGAATAATCTTTTCATTTATTTTACAATTATTTGCTTTTCATTCTGTAGTTTTATATTGTTTGATAGATAGACACAATTTATAATACAGATATGAAAATACTAAAAAACAATGATCGAATCTTTTGATCACAATATTGAATGTTAAATTACTATTCTAATTAAATATTGAACTACTAAATAAAATGAAGTTGAATACTAATAAAAACAAAAAAAAAAAAAAAAAAAAAAAAAAAAAAAAGTAAAGAAAACTACATATAAACATATAAATATACAATAATTGTTTCATTCTTGTTAAAGATATTATACAAATATAAATATCATACTCATATAACTTCACTATAATGTACAATATAATATAAACTATAAAAGTAAAATTGAAATTACCATTAATTTCCCAATACAAAATCTCATTTTGTATGGGGCATATGAAATTTATATTTACTTATATTTGAATCTTTTACGAGAATTATATACTAGTATTTTTATTATATACATATTAAAAATCACATTTTATATTTTCCATAGATTCTTTGCAAAGATATTAAAAATAACGTATTTAACAATGCAGATAAACATCTACATATATAAGAAAATTATTATGATAATAATTATCCATAATAGATTCTTTAAATCACTATAGTAAAATTCATTAATACTACCTCAATTATTATTCAATAATATATTTTCGTACCACAATATTATATACAACATTATATAATCTTAAAGATATAATCTCTATAATCTTGAAAACTAAGTTTTAATCTGAAATAACGTTGAGTAATAAAATTTTAATTAATTCAGCATCCAAGACCGAAAAATTTGTGGATATTGTTGCAATTTCGTATTTGGGCGGGAAAAAAGTTCTTACAGAAATACAAATAAAATAATATTTAGCTGGAAGTCGCTATCGCTATTTTTCTCGATCCAAGAAATCATAATAACGGAACACCAGCGGTAACAATCGGATTCATGCACGTTTTCAAAAAGATAATTCGGCTTTTCCACTTCACGCTCAATTAATCCCTCCAGTGAGTTACATACGCTTCGGAAAGGGATCACTGTTGCAATTCTTCGCGAATTAATTTAATAATAATAACAATCATTCACCCGGAAAAGGATAATTCTCAAATTTAGAATAATTGGGAGATAATGATTTCAAAAGGTCAAAAATTCAACAGCTCGTCTATACTTATTTACATTAAAGTTTGATATATATTGATGACTGTTTTAGATAGAATATTGTAATATTTTCATTTATTTGTCTTATTAAGTTTATGTATAATTGAATAAAATACTTGTTGGTAGAAAAGTCAAATTAAACTGTATCAATTCAATTTCTTTATTTTATTTTTAAGTGAGAGTTTAAAAAAATTATTATGATACTTGAAACTTTCTTAAAAACGCACTAATCAATTAATTCGTTAATCTATATGCATTTTAACATGTATTTATTTAATAGTCAATCGTTATAATAACATAGTGATTAATTAATGGAAGAATCAATTGCAATAGTCCTTAATATTCGCAATAATATATTTGGAAATCATAATCAAGATTTTTTATTATTTACATAGAAAAATTAAGTACATTAACATTATAGTTCATTTTGTAGTATTCATATTTATACTAACTTATACTAATTTAAAAATCTTTTGGCGAAGTTTTTCAGCCATTAAATATGATTCTTAACCGTACTCTTTACATAAATACGCCACAATTTTCTTTAACGCCTAGTCATTGCACTAGTTTCATCAATTTCATCAATATTTCCGGTTGATATCGATATAACTAATCAATGGTAAGAGATAAACGAAAACCGACTATTAAAAAACAAAGTCATTTATGTATTGGAGGTTAACTGAGCATTTAATGTAGCTTGGCTTTCGAAAACCATTGTAATTACGTTGATCGGCCGTTTTATCGATCATTTCATTTACCTACCTACAATGAATAGTATTTTAAAATTTTCTTTCAATATCGTATTCAATTTTATTTTTCGCGACTTACATTATACCAATTCCTCGTTTCAAATTTTCTCTCAACTTTTTCTCAATGTAGCATTTATCTTTATAATCTTTTCAAATTAGTTTTTTGAAAAAGCTACAAATGTCAATGAACGACTTCAAATTCAAATATTCATTTATTAAAAAAAAAATGTATGATCATGATTTATAAGAAAGTTTACCTAAATCAGAAGTCATGGAAGAATTTATATAATTTTTTTATAGAAATTACACCACATAAATGCTCTAAAACAAGATATAGGAAAATAATATTAATATTTTAAATGTAATGTAATTGTATTATTTATTCAAAAGACATAAAAAAAATTTATATTCTTAACTCACGATGGCTCTTAAAAAATTATTGAACATATGAATTAAAGCAAGCAAATTAAAAAATATAGCACGAAATCAACAAACTTGAATAATTCATACATAAATGAATACATAAATAAAAAATCCATAAAAGAAATTCATAAAATTGAAATAAAATATTATTTTCAAAGTTTAATAATAAATTTATCGTAAAATTTATACTTTAGTTGAAATAAAATCTTCATATTCCATGGTTTAATACTCGTTTATAAATAGTTTATAACTCGTTTTCCATTTACATAATTATAATTCTTTCATTTGAGCTAAAGTTTTTATTTCGGCATTAAGCCGTAAATTTTAAAATCTAATGATCAATATAATTGTCTATGTAATATATTCGTATTTTAAATCTTACAGATTACATACGATATAGATCAAAAAGAAAAGTAAACACTATATTTCAATTTACTAATTACAATAGAATGCATTAATGTAATGAATTATGAAATAATTTGCATTAAAGAAATAAAGAAAATTCATTGAATGAGTTTAATATTTAATTACTTGAGTACTTACTATAATCGTCGTTTTAATTTCAAATATTAACAGAGCCAATTTTACAAAAAAAAAAAAACTAGAACACTATTTATAAATTTGAACAAAATTTCTAACAGTATTTTGACTATATTTTAAGATATTTTTAAACATACATAATATAAATATATTAATAACTTCATTTTTAAATGTAACTGATTTTCTAAGAGAATCAATGATATTTGTTTATAAATAATTGTCTTATTGTAACATTTAGTATGGATTTATAATAATAGGGAGATTTAATATTATTATGATTTTTCGAATTTCACAGATTTGTTTCGACTTGAGAAATATAGAAAATATCGAACATAGAAATAAAGAATATAGATTAAAAAAAAAAAAAAAAAAAAAAAAAAAACAATCATTTGACAGTTTCCGTACAATTTTAAAGTTAATAAATCGGCAAAGATTCTGAACAGTTGTTGGTATTCAAATTTCTCCCTTTAAAAAAACAATTATGTACAGTCATTATTTTTAATATTTAATCTTTAATAATTACTGTATTTATATTTTGACAAGTTATTAATAATGTTCAGTCATATAAATTTCATGCAATAAATGAGTGCAAATGAAAGCTACATCTAATATATCAAATAGATATTAATTTCTAATGTTACGGTGGAGATATTGAAAAGTATTTATAAAGCTTAGCTAAGATAAAATCATGTTTCCTAAACATTAAAAAAGAAGACTAAATGTTAAAATGTAACTTTATCTATATTACTAGCGATTTGCATAGTAGAAATGTAGGTCTCTCATTTATCAATATTTGAGGCGCGATAAGTTTGTAAAAAAGAGTTTTCACACAATTTAATAGAGCTTGTCACCTCGGCTTTCTAAAAAATCAAAATACGCTTAAAAAAAATGTTAAAAAATATGTAGAAAGTTAAAACTGATTAACTCATCTATAAATAATTTTATTTTCCGCTTCTCGTTATTTTAAAATTATCAAAATCGTGGTACAGTTCTATAGTTTATGCAAGATCGCAATAAGAATTTTATTTCATACGAAGAGTAAACCGGTTACTTCGGTACATAAGAAATTCTCATGTTTATTATTCATATATTCGATTAATTATTCGATTAGTTATTTGTATTAAGAAAAAAAAAAAAAAAAAAAAAAAGATTATACGACGTTAATATAATCATTAATCATAATCACGGGTTTTACAAAACGATTAATTTTACTCTTTAATTAAATTGAAATTGAAACATTAATTTTCCTTTATTCAGACTAATTTCTGATGAAAAGAAACAAACATAAACGTTAAATAGATAGAATTTTTTAATTTTTTTAATTTATATACAATTTTTTAATAATGACGTGTGTATATTTATTTCTATTTTTCATTGTAGAAAAATAGATTATTTGCTTTGATGATATTATTCATAATTAATTCCAGATTAAATTAATATGATGTAAACTTGACACTGAAAGTATCTAATATATAATTTTATATCATAACTAAAATAAATAATATTATAGGAGTATTATATGAGGACGTTGAAGAGCCGATTAATTCATGCTCTTTCACCTAAGCTTTTAAAGTAATAAGCAAAAAATTTCGAGGCTATTTTTGATATTAGATATAATTTTTTTTTCTTCTTTTACATAATAAATACAATTATTCAAGTGCGCATATAACTATCATTCTATTTAAAAATTTAAATTCTTATGCATTAGAAGTTATTCTAATAAGTATAGTATGTAAATTAATTTGTAATATTTATCATTATAGTTTTGCATTTGTAACTTTGAGCGGAATATATCGTCAAAAGTTTTGAAAAACTAAAATTTCAATAATTAATAATACATGAAAAGAATACAACGTATATTTTACAATAAAATTCTTAAAAGCATATTGCATTAAACGCAAGAAAAAAAAATAAAAAGCATATTTACGGGAGGTAGTTGGAGCCATTCAAGTATACACGCACTCATGACTATTATTTACATGCTTATTGCAATATTTAGAGAGAAAAAAACATGTACAAAAAAGGAGATAGACAGCACAAAAAGTATCTAATTATATAATTACAATCCATACATTTTGTTCAATTCTTACAAAATATTGGTGATATTAATAAAAAATAAAAATAAAATATATATATATATATATATATATATATATATATATATATATATATATACACGCATATAATGTAAGGCGAGATGTGTCTATTTTATCTAATTGTTTTTCGGCTCCTTAGCATCTGATGTCCGGGTGGTTGCTGGACTACAGCTACAAATGTCAACCAGTTGATTACTCTCATAATCCCTCGGCACTACGAATGGCAAACCTTTGCTGGTGGTACTTCATCAGCAAATTTACCGAATTCGCTGATACAGTAAGTAATAATCCCGATAAATAATATTAATTATATTATTTTAAATAAGTAATAATAAATAAATAACTATATGATATTGTTTAATTACAAATTATTTTATGCACAAATAGATAACGTATAGCACATCATAATCACTTGGATTGATTATGTAGTTGGTTGAATTATTATTAATGATAGCATGAATGGTGTTATAATTGGACTTTTAGGATTTAGATATTTAGACCAATAAAATACGCTTACTAATATTTATGAAAACCTCTTGGCTCTTAATTGAGAATTATTAATTAATTAATATAAAGCAGAACATTCACAAATATTATTGAACTCTGTATTAATATGATATAATTACAGTTTGCAGAGATTAGTTATTTAATATGACATTACGCAAATTAACGAAAATTAAAGCAATAATTATGTTATATCCTTGGACATGCAGTAAAATAAAAAAATTAGTATCGAAATAAAAAAAAAATATAATTAGCAAACCAAGTTATTTTTCCAAGGATATAAATGAGAAATAATGCATAATTCAAATAAGATTTAAATTTATTTAATAAAAACTATACGATCGGCTGTTTATTACAAGAATATTAAAAAAAAAAAAAAAAAAAAAAAAAAAAAAAAAAAAAAAAAAAAAAAAAAAAAAATTAACAATAAAATATCTATAATTCGTATTATCAAGGAATTAATAAATTAATGACGATTTAATGCAAATAATTGGTCAATTTCTACAAACCAAAATTATAATACAAAAACTTGGTTCGTTAAGTTGTTTCATATTGTATAAAAAAAAAAGGATCACAACCATAGAACAAATGATTTTTTATATGATATATCATTTTAACATATCGCATTAAATCAATTCAAATCTAAAAGAAAAACAGTAAATACTTACTAATTATATAATTTATTTTATTTCTATTTTAACTTTTACAATGAAAAAATTTAATTCTATCTTTGTTTTTTAATGATTTTACTGCCATTGCACAATATGCAATAAGAAAACATTGTCAAACCAACAAATATAGTAAAATCCTATAAATGTTTTGAATTTTTTTTATTATTAATGAAATATTTATTAAAATACTGTTGGCATTATAAGAATACAATAAAGTACAAATAAATCGAATAAATACATAAATCTATTTGATAATGTGCGTGGGTTTGTGCTGTACATATACGTATGCATGCATGTGTGTACGCAGTTGTATATATATATATATATATATATATATATATATATATATATATGTGTGTGTGTGTGTGTGTGTGTGTGTGTGTGTGTGGGTGTGTGGGTGTGTGTGTGTGTGTGGGTGTGTGTTTATTCGAATAGTATTTACTTATGCACGTGTGCGGCTGTAATTGCGTGTGTATGTGTTCGTTACCACAAGTCATCCACGAGGTGTATTATTAATTTATAAAGATTTTTAAGATAAATGTTTTCTACATGATCATTTCGTTGTTCTAATATTTGACATAATCCATATTGCGGTGAGTGATATTATTTCCGACAACTTCTCTCTTCGTTAATACGTATTCTACTCGTCTCTACTCGTACCTATGCCTGTAATATACAAATTATTTTACGACTAGATGCATCACAAAATTATCTGCGTATAGCAAACGCAAAAGAAAGGACAAATCGAGCTGCACGCGATTCTTATTTTACGATGGAAAATTGACTAAAGTATTTATCTTAAAAATAACGACTATTTCGAATTGAAATTAGTTAAAGTTAACATTCAAGTATAATTAAGAAAATTATTTTTTATATTTCAAATAGATTTTTTTGTAAATTGATCTTTCGAAAATTGAATAATTTCGAATATTGATAAAATTTTTTAATTGTTGATTAATACATTATTTTAATAAATTATATACATATAAATAATTGTATAATAAGTAATTATATAAATATAAGCTCTATATTCAACTAATTTAATGCATTAGTTTTCTATATTTACAGACCTTGTAATAATCACAATAAATGCTGCGTAGATAGACACATTGACACTAGACAATAATTGTAATCTAATGCGTAATCGTAATTAATAATGTGTGTTTATACTATAAAGCTTTAACATATCGCTAGTCTTAACAATCATAATTAATTTCAGATTATTAAATTTATTGTATATTAAATTATTTAAATTTATCGCTGCTTTACTAATATCTCATTATAGTGTAAGGATAGAAGTTATTATTTTTTACTTATTTGAAATAATTTAGAAACTTTTTTAAATATAAATAAGAATAATTGAAATACAATTTTGAAGAAAATTGACCAATTATTTGCACGCTAACGCAAAAAGTAATTCTTACAATTTTAGCTTATCAAAGGCAATATATTATTATGACAAATTTCTAAAACGCTAAATATTTCAAATTTTTACAAAAATGAAACTCGTTTTCATACATTTATGTACAAAAATGTCATTGGAATTACATTAATTTAAATGAAAAATTTAAGCAATTATTAAGAATGCGATACCAACATATTAAAAACATTTCAAATACAATGTAAATTATTAATATATGTGTAATATAAATTATTATCGTAAATGTATGTTGTGTTTAAATTTATAATTAAAAAATTTTTCATTAAATATTAAATAAAATAATTTTTTTATTAATTATTAATTAAATTGAGCAATTTAAAAAATATATCCAAACTTTAATATGAATGAATATATGTATGTATAAATTTTGTGTGAAAAAAAAAAAAAGATAATAAAACTCACTTAATACAGTTGTACTCTCTAATTTTAGTAAGTAAAAGTTCAAAAAAACAATTTTCAAAATATTGAATTTTTGAAAGATGATTATGTATATTCAAGCTACTAATACTGATTTTTCAATTATTTTCATTCAGTTTGAAACTACATACTAAATTTATGATATTAGCCAATCGTCTGCGTAGCATTCGCTTTTAAGAATAAATAGCGAGATATTATTTCTTGATTGATCTATTAATTTGCTTATTAAAACTTTCACATGCTTATTCGTGGTAACCATGACAAAGATATTGTTAAGAAAGTATGCGTGTCACGTCCGAAGTGTCTTGTTCAATAAATGATAATCTTCTCTGGGCAGTGCGATTACTGAAATCATTGAAGCTGGCAGTCGCAATCGTTTGCAGCTGTTTTGATAGATCGCGACTTACGCTATTAAGATGAATTTTATTTCGAAAATTGTTATGCATTGTTCAAAGTTGATTCAATCCGAGATTTTCACTAACATTAATACTCTATGTACTTATATAGGTAGGTTATAAAATGTTATGAAATTTGAAGTCATCGCTCGTGGTGGCCAATTTGAAACTATGTAATATTGACGATTGTGAAACGTTAAATATTTTATGACTCAGCTACATTAAACACCATTTTAAAAGTAAAAGATTCTTAAGAACAATTTAAATAAAATTAACTTTACGTGGATGTGAAAATTTTCACTGTATTATCATGCAAATGGAAGATCCTTACACCTTATAAACACAAATTTCCTAACGCATAAACGAAATTGTCTTTTCTCTAAAATTCAAAATTAACGTATGACTAAATAAATTAACTGGCGCGCCAATAAGCTTGAAATAAAAATGTCATTACATTATTATTGAATATTATGCTTGCGTATGCGACACTTAAATGAATCCTCATAATACCCTTATTTTATTGCATATGAGAGTGAATTTATAACTGCATTTATTACTGAATTATATGGACGGACAATTCTTAATTACTTCAGATATTCTTCATTCTACGAAAGAAGGACAGTCAGGTGACGTTTCTGCATCTGTATCATCACTCGCTAACACCACTCGAGACTTGGATTTGCGTCAAGTTTATCGCGGGTGGTCACGGCACTCTAGGCAACCTCATTAATAACGCTGTCCACGTTGTAATGTACTTCTATTATATGCTCGCGGCTGCAGGTCCCGAGTACCAAAAGTACTTATGGTGGAAGAAACATCTGACTACCGTTCAGTTGGTAAGTTCTCTCTTAAAATATAAATAATGCATGACCATCGAAACAAGAGGCATACAAGTCATAAGAAATTATTTATTTAAACAGTATTTATAAAAACAGATAATTTCTAATTGAATATCCATTCGTGAGTAATAAAGTGTCCCGACTAACTTGAAATAATAATGTAAAGTATCTAGGTTAAATGCACTTTAGAAGCAAATTCCACATTATTTTGTGTTACAAAAGTAATTTATAAATTTAAGGCATATTTTAAGTAATGAGCAATCGGTGAATTTTAACAAATATATTTCATTTTTTTTTTTTTTTTTTTTTTTTTTTTTTTTTTTTTGATACTGAAATCGGTTTTCACTTCTTCCGCTTTAGTGATTACATAAAAAAATACGAATAAGATTAAAATTCTAATAGAATTTTAATTAGAAAAGAAAAGCGAATAGAGGCATAGTAAACAAGATCCAAAATAATTAGAAATGATTAAAAATATATAAATAAACAAAATTATATTATACTTTATCAATATAATGGAAATTCAGAATATTATAGTAAATAATTGTCAAATAAAATTATTATTGGTATTACATATCTAGTTATTATTAACACTAAACAAAACATCACTAAATGGATTAGTTCGTATGTATTATAAAAATTCAAATAAAAATCAATTCTGAATTTATAACTAATTTAAAGTAATTGAAATAGGATGAAGTTCGTATGCTAAATTAATAGAAATGAAAGTTAAAAGAATTTTTCAATATAAATTTTTAAAGTTACTTCACATTACAAATCTTACATTCAAAACATAAATAGTTAATAAGTTGAATTGAAGTTTAATTTCGTATGTAATTATCGAGATCAGTACATTAAGAATTTACAAAAATATCTAAAATAATGGATATAGCGATAAATAAAAAAATGAAATTAATAATAAAAATGTTGTATAGTATAGTAAATAGAAACGTGCAGTATATTTACAATCTCTACAGAATTGTGTGGATTAATAGAGAGATAAGTAAAACGATTGCAAAATAATTTATAAAAAAAAAAAAAAAAAGTTATATAAATAGTTCTCGTGACTAGAAAAGATTTTAATTAAATTATAAAAAAATACTATTTGAATCATTTTAATAAAAGTCTTATGCCATATGACGAAATATCAAGCAACTATGCCAAGTTATATATTGTCAAGAATATTGAACTCGCCAATAATTATTTTAACTAGTACATAATTTTATATAATTCTCTCTCTTTATATTCCTTATATACTAAAAAATGATATTTTCAGAATTATTTCCTCTAAGAAAATAAACAAACGTTTTATATGAATTACAATTAAATACTTTCTATTTATAATATGTGACTATATTATATATAGATATATATATATATATATATATGAATAAATTGTTATTTAAATATATGAAGGGAATAAAAAATTTTTTTTTTCATTATAAATATTTCATATTAGACGAATCTAAAAATTATAAAAATAAGGAGATTACGAAATGGTAATGTTGAAATTAATTTAGATGGTCATTTTGAGATAAAAAGAATAGTATCGCAAGAGTTCGTCTTTTCTATTTAGCAAAATAAAAGTTCTTGGTGAATTAAACATTATTGAGCACAATAATATTAAATACAAAAGAATAAAAATCATAAGATTAATTAAAGAAATAGTACAAGTGCAAATGCTCTAATTTTTAATATTTAATATCACATATTTATAAATTTATCTACAATATTATGGAAATATTTCCAATCACATATAGCTACGTTAACATTTTACTACGAAGGCCTAATTTCTTTAATTTAATCAAAGTAACGATTATCTTCATTATCATTAATTGCTTTCGTAATTTTCCATCTTTCGTGACAACACATCAATAAAAATCCTTTTCGCATTGCAGAGACATAATAAATGTTTCTGTGTATTAAATAACGACAAGAATTACGCAAAATCAACGTGCTATTCGGATAATTCAAACAACGCGCGCTTATGGCCTCAAAAGTGAACGGCTTCGTTTCATTATCGTCGAATACTATCCCGAACAGTATACAAAATTTACATGTTCTAATTGCGATCTTTCATGGATTATTAGATTTTACAAGTACATATTGGTTAATTGTATAAAATATTAGATTATTTACATGAATATTACTTAAATTAATTCGTATATTCTATCTTTTGTTTAATGTGCAATTGATTTGTAATCCTATAAATTACCATTTTATAAAATTAATACTTTCATTTGTTGAAAAATGAAGTAAATTCTTAATAATTATTTATTATTATATCAAAATTTTCAAATAATATGTTATTCAATAAATATTAGAAGTTATAAAAATGATTAATGTTAATAATATCATTATGGTAGAATATATGATTATAGATTTTATCTTTAATGAAATGCAAGTTTTTTTTTTATCTATACTTACGGCGTTTTTTATATTGAATTTTGTAGAAATAAAAGTATCTTTGCTTATTAATATATGCATTGTATTTTAGTATTGGCAAAGAATTCTAATTGATTGAAACATGTCATCAATTAGCTTATTCACTTCTCATTTTCATCATATTTTATTCAAGCTTTTGGTAATATTGAGTATGAATTAAGCACTGTAAGAAACAGTGAATTAAATATAAAATATTGCTTAACTTTAGAATTGAAAATTTATTATCTCTACTTTATCACATTATGAATTAATTTATTTGACGTTATTATACTTTAATATGTCATAAAGAATATCAATAAAAGCATTGTAAAAATTAAGAATATCAATAAAAGCATTGTAAAAATTTTAATTATAGAAAGTTACAAATTAAAAATTTATATCGTTATAAGTTTAGTGAACATTTTTATAATCATTCAATAAGAAATTTAACGGAAACATTAATTTCAATTCCATTTTTGAATTTGTTATTATATATTTGTAGTTTAAGTAATTATCAATCACGAATATTTTTACTTAATTAGAGAAAAGAAAACCAAATTGATACCCTTATGCAAATAAATATACTACTGACTGAAAGTAATTATTAAAATAGTAATTTAAAAAAAAATATACGATATTTAATAAAGGATTGTATTTGTTATTTATATGTAATTATTTATATCTAATATAAATAATTTATAAATTTAAATCATTTAAAATTGAAAATATAACGTAATTTTCATTCTTACAAATATATATATATAAGTACTAACGTAAAGAAGAGTTTGAATTAATTTAAGTAATCGTTAATTACAGATTAATGTTATTAGAAAAAATAACGAATAATAATTGCAAGACTAATTTCATAAATTCTAGATTACTATTAGTCCACTTGATAATTAAAGTCTTAACTTACACTCAACATAAATGACTACAGAAGAATGTTAATTTATAATTATGTCAATGAATTCACGAATTAAATGTTGAACAAAGAAGTTTAACAATTCTTAAATTCAGTTAAATAAAAATTTAACATTTATTATAAAAAATAAATATCCGTATAATTAAACTATAGTTTATAAATATTGTGTGCGGTGACTAATCAACTAATATTAAAATAAAAAAACAAGTTAAATTATCTATGATTTTCTGCATAGTGCAGTTGCACTATTTCGATAAAAAAAAATGCCAAAAGAATGTTTCCAACGAGAAACGTGCACCATAATTAGCTAAATTTCCTCACGAAGGTGCAAAAAGATAGCAAACAGCTATACATTGCCCCTGGCGATCCTTAGGCTGGGATGGCGCCTTCCTCCCCTTCTAAATGAAGTATTCTTTACTTCATTTAGAAAAACACCGTAGATGAAAATTTAAAAGTGCGTGTTAAAAGCGTTGGTCAATAGCGACATTTCTTCTCTCCCCCCCCCCCCCCCCCCCCACCCCCCCCCCCCCCCAATCCCGATACCGCCGCGTACTCCATCTCTCTCTTTCTCTCTCTCTCTCACTCTCTCACTCTCTCACTCTCTCGTTATCGCTCTTGCTACTACTGGCCTATAGTTCACCGGCTGTTCCGCGCTATTACTTCTGTTCGCTATGGCGTAACTATTTGGAATTCAATAGTATATATGCGATATGTGTGCGTGAGTGTGCACGTGTAGGTCGAACGTCTAGGTCGATGCATTGATTTTTAAGGGAATTGCAACTAAAGGAATTGTTAATTGTGCGTAATTGTGAATCAATAGTTACAGCTCTTACTATTTGAAAGTAATCCTTGAAGACATTTGAGTTTAATCCTTATTTGCACTTGTACGTTGTGTTAGTTAGTTTTTTATTTATTGATTGTATGCGTATAGCCAAATGAACATAGGTGTTTCGAAATCAGAATTTCGAAAAAAGAAACTGAAGTTAATAATAAAATTAATCTCTTGTTATAATTTTAAATTAATTACTACAGATAAAAATTAATTTCTATTTGTTTTTATATTAAGATTGTTAATTAGTCCATTACTTTAAAAATATGTAGATTACAAAACAACGTCATACAAAATTAATATAAAAACTGTATAAGCTTCTTAGTGAGCCTGTAATCCATATAAGCCATAAAAAGTATAGAGAATAGTTTCAAAGGCAATTAATTAATTCATTTTATTCGTTTAAATAATAATGTAGTCTCACAAAATTGTTTCTACAATATTTTGTTAAAAATATACTGTAAATTTCGTGCATTAACTCTGTAATTAAGTTTTTTTAATTTTTACTCACTTAACTTCTATTTTTATATATACAAGTTTCAAGAGTTTTATAAATTATTGAAACATATTTATGTATAATTGAATAGAAGAATAATTCAAATATGTATAATTTAAAAAATTCACTAATTATATAAGGCTAAAGTTAACTAAATTAGAAAGACAATATATCAGGCTACAAAATAATGAATAATTTATTAATATCGGTGATATTATTTATAAAAATTTTTAAACACATTAATTGACTATATTTTAACATCTGTACACTGTAGGAGTACAGATTTTCTAAATGGTGTCAATTTACACAAGTGCGATCACCTGTCATAAATGAATGTCACAATGAGCTCTAAAAAAGAGTGAATCCCCAATGAATTGCGATAGAATTGTCACTATAAACGCAACATTAATGTTTGTTAATTTTTCAGTTAGAGAAGAAAATTAGATAGTTTAACGCTTGTTGTAATAGATCGTACTTAGTAACTCAATTTTTTTTTTTTCTTTCATTACGCTTTTATTTACGCAAATATCAAGGCACTTACATTGGAATGGAAAAACTTGAATCATAAATGTTTGAATTGATATCGAATTTTAGTTTATGCTATTTCAAGATATATCAAAATAAAAGTGAAGAAATTATATTACTGCGTCAGGAATTTGTGTTAACGATATGAATAAACTTGTCAAGCAATGAATGATCTAGCAGCGATCTAGATTAAGAATAACATTTTCTTAATTTTTATCGTTAAAAAATAATGCTAATATTTTAACAAAAGTAATAAACATAATACTTTGTCTGATATCTGATTTATTGACATTAAACATTGATTATTTATTAGAATATAAATAATTTATTTCGAATAAACAAACATTTTCTAATACAACAAATTTATATTGATGAAAATTAATTGTTTATACTTATACGTTGAAAAGAATTCGAAAAAATATTTTAATATTTTTATTTTAAAAAATACGAATTATTAAAATAAAAGTGTAAAAAAATTATTAGTTGATATAGAATAAAATTTATTAGTGATTTTTAAAATTTTTTACTTATTAAAAATGTCTTGATTATACTTATTATTATATTTATTATATATATTATATATTATATATATTATATATATTATATATATTATTATTATATATATTATTAATATATATATTATTAATAATATATTATATATATTATTAATATTTATTATTATATATTATTATTATTTATTATTGTTATATAAATACTTATTATTATTAATATATTATACTTATTAAAAACGATATTGAAAATTTTGGAAGCTAGTTTTTAAAAATATTTTTATATATTATTATATAGAGCTATAATTTTATTAAAAGAAATATAATTAACTAAAAGAATACTAAATGACTGTAAATATTAATATGTTGTTAAAATTACATGTAAAAGGCTCGAAAATTTTCAATGGCTTATGAACTTAATCTTATGATTATCATTGATAATGTCGTTAATAATCCTTAAATAAATATCATTGAAGAAAATTTTTCTTGTACAGTCTATTTCTAAGTAAGTTAATTTAACTTGAGTAACTTAAGTAACTTAACTTTTAAGTTATGTATTTAATCATAAGTTGAAAATTTAATGCATTATTTGTGAACTACTTTATAGTCTATTAGATAATTAAATTTAAATGAATTATTTTCAAGTATCAGTTTCAACTATCAGTTTAAAATGACAAATGCCAATATACAAGCATGGTAAACGAGACATTATATTTTTATAAGAATTATTTATATATTAATACGTAAAATTTCATAAACTTACGCCTACCCACTGCGTGTAATGTGTGATCTATATTTTGTAATATTCGTTTAAATCCTTTGAATCGATACTATATTTTCTCTTATTTTTTTAATTCAAATGTAAAATAAAATTAAAATGTCGGATTTAAATAAAAAATCGATATATTCAAATAAATAAATTACTTAGAACTTTAAATGGCACCGATAGATTTAATTATAAATAATTTTAGTACAAAATAATGTAATGAGAGCGCTCGATTAAAAAATTACGTATGTTACATAAAAACGATAATCGGAGATCCGAAAATTATTTTATAATTACAATTCTAGTAAAACTCAGTATTTTAAGCATATCTAGTGAAGAATAAATTCAAAGTCGTCCATAAAATAAAAAATATCTTTAATAAATTGAAAAATTATTACGGCTAGATGAATTATAAGTCAATACGCGCAAATATATTTGGTTGTGTTTTATCAAAAATTGCTGATAAATATTTGTACTATTATATGAAAAATATTTTAATTTATCAATTAATTATTTTTATATCTATATAAATCGTATAGAAAACAAATTTCATACTGTGTTATATTTACAATTTTTTTTTCTTTTGAAAAAGACTAGAAATATTTATGTTAACTTTGCACATAAAACATAAATACCAATAATTAATTTTCTTTAATTTATCTACTGCAATATATTGTCATTATGCACTAAATGTTAAAAAACACATTTTGGGATGGGAATAAAGGAAATAATGTATTTATATTCTATTATTATTCATCTTCACGGGAAAAAGTATCATGGAAGCATAAATGTAAGCGTTCAAAATTAAAGGAAAGCAAGCTATTACATAAATGCGCAGAGGCAATTACTCAAATTTTCTTGTCGATATAACGAAATGTGGGATGAAAATGAAAAATAAGGACATCTAACAAGAAACCTACTTGTTATTCACCTATTTATTAACAAAATTGTAAAGATAGACAATGAATTGCTGTGTTAACGATAACTATTATTTCTTAACAATCTAAAGAAATGAAATTCCTGCAGTTTATAATACATAACATACTTGACTCGCATGGAAATGAGAAAATTCAAAGTTATTCATCGGATCATACTGCTTAATATGAATGTAAAATGCTTCAGAATATGCAGCTTATAAGTGTAAAGAAATTTTTATGTCAAAATTGATAATATACACGCGAGATATTTTGTGTAATAGACGGCACTATTTTTGTTCTACGGCCAAAGGTGAGGTAATTACAATAATGATTGCACCGCCTAATAGAATCATTAGTTCTCACGGTATCAACAATTTAATAACAATGAATTTAAGTACCGCATATGGAATCGATAAGACCATGAAAAACGAAAAAAAAAAGGTGACGATTATTTGATACAATTTGGATTTTCAAGATCTCAACTATAGTTGATATATTATAATAGAATAATAATAATAAAATCTGAGTATAATAATCGTAGTCAATCGTATGAATACAATCGATTAGTAATTTCGAAAATTATAATAAATAAAAGATAAATAAATATTGATATTGACTATTAGTAATATATATGAATTTTTATAAGTAATCGGCAGTGTTATTGACAATACATGTAAAAACCAATGATATGGACATGTGTAGGGCAATTTTTAAATAAGGAATACTTTTACTTTGGTAAGACAAAATGAAATTCACTAAACCGCATGTATGCGAGCTAATAAATAATTAAAAATAATGAAAATGACTCGTGAATGACTAAATTATATAATGTATTTGTTTTACAGGTGCAATTCTTCTTGGTGTTTGTGCATAGTGCCCAGGCTTTGATTTTCGATTGCGGTTATCCTAAGCTTGTGGCTAGTCTCTTACTTCTACACTCGACGATTTTCTTCATTCTCTTCTATAACTTCTACCTACAAGCCTACCGCCGAAGTCAAAAAACCAACGACGTTAAATCTGAATAAAGAACGTGTGAATAATTAGCTGCCTGTTACCCCATTATCGGGGAAGCAGAATAGAGAATAAAAGAGAGAATAAAGAGAAGGAAAAAATGAAATGAGGAGAGAAAAAAAGAAACACGGAAGTACAAATATATTTTGATTAATTGGTCCCGTCGGCTGGCCGCAAACGTCACTGCCGAGAAAATAATACCAGAATTTCGAAGACAATGCTGTCGATGAAACCGCGTACGGATTTTTATACTTGTTTCGTTCGCGTGCAATCTAGTCTTCGCGCCGGCGCGATTCTTTTCTACGAAAGGGTAAGTGAGGGGAGGGGCACGCGTTAGGATTCGCGAATTATTCCGCTGTGTGTACAATTAACGGGGCGGGTGGGGAGGGGAGGGGGAGACGACGGATTATATGGTGTGCGTAAAGTACGCGTTCGGGCTCATCTTTAGTAATCTTTTTTTGTTCATCTGTAATAATTTTGATTTCTCTTGATATTTCATGCATATTTTCTTTCTCTTTTCGAATTAAAGAATTTATTGTGAAAGCTATTTTTATCTAAATATAGTATTAATATAATTATAAGTTCTACGGTTTTTTTTTTACTCTGCTGCTATTTTATAAGAATTATACTTAGATCGTTCTATTATTCGAATTTCTCCATAACATCAACGAATATATATATATATATATATACTTTAAAAAAAGAAATACTATAAAAATTATTTATTTAGTATATAAATAGTTATAATTATTGTACTATGTTAAATCGATATTATCTCGTATAAAATAAAATTTACCATTTAAAAAAAAAAAAAAAAAAATTAAACAAATGACAAATTCTCAGATTCAAAGAATTTTAATTTAAACAATTTTCTACATAATTACAAACTGTACAATATTAATTGTAGAAATTGACAAATAATAACAAATGTCTTTATAAAATATATTAAACGTTCATCTAATTTCGAATTTCTTTTCCATTATACAATAAATATATTGATTTTAAAATTTAAATATTTGATATTATACTAAATGCGAACTACGATATTCTTATTGCATAATGATTTTTGGGAATAATTTCTCGTAATATGTATATACAAAACAAAATAACTTTTATTCTAATTATTTAAAATAGAATTATTTTCTTTGAATAAACTTATACAAATATTTTATACGTTGTACATTGAAAAAATTGGATTTTCACATATATATTGTTTAATGTAACTAACATAATCGCACATCATTCATTATTAAGCAATGATTTTTTTTCTTAGGTAAAATTTCATTTTTTCCAATATCATAAGTTAAATCCATGTTTTCTTCCATTCGTAAATATATGATTGTCTAATGAACTTCACTTGCTATATGTTATGTTAAAATCCAATTAATACCTTATGAAAATCAAATATTGACTCAACAATATAACGTGATAATTTAATGCATCTTTTAATTATATAAATAAATATAAAGATTTCTATAAAATACTTTATAATCTGTAACGAATAATATAAATTGAATCTTTTTAAATAGTTTATATAATTACAAAGACAATTTAGAAATTTATAATATATCAAGGAGATTGTTTATATTGTCTCTAATAAGAACCGAATTAGGTTCTTTAGATGTAATCGATTTAGTATATAGAATTTAGGAACTATGAGTTTATTTGTTAAAGGGACCGCTAGATTATTAGAGGAACAAACAAAATTATTTATTATTTGTATATCTATAAATAAATTCATCACTTTTATAAGCTTCTTTTGATTATAATTCTTGCGTGTCAAGCAAAGCAACGTAAAAATTTAAAAGAATAATCTTTGTAAACATTTTAATATTTTTCTTTTCTCACTGACGACTATGTTAATATATATATATATACATTGTTCAAATCGTTTGAACTATATAGAAGTTAACATTTAGTTATAAAACTTGTTTGTTTGAAAATAAAATAAAATAAATTGTTAGATACAGATAGATTTTTTTCAAATATTTCAATCCGTGATTTCATATGTTACAGAAAATTAGCGAATAAATAGGATGAAACAATAATCTGCATTCAAGAATGCTACAAACTATAATAACGCCAATATTATAAGACCAATTATCTTCTTGTATTTCTATAATTTCTTTTTTTTTTAATGCTTTAGGCATATATTTAATATTTAGATACAGTTTGGGGTATTTTATACTTTTGGGTAATCATCAAATGAGTTTAGCTGCGTAAATAAACGTTTATGGTTTTCTTACTCCTATATAAGAAATCTAACTAAATAATTACAATTCGAACACATTTTTTGGTTTTGTACATTTAGCATTTATAATTAATGAATTTATATGTTCTTTTTTTAAAGTTTCCATTACGATATGCCCACGGATTATTAAATTTTCACCAAAAAACAATTCATTACCTGACTAAATAATTATCATTTTTCTTATATAAGTATACTTAAGTAATTATTAATAATTGTTTCTACATCTGTTTTGCTTCAGTTTAAAATAACAAATAAAAGTCGATAAACCTGATTTTATTAATTTTCTTATATCTTTAGCATTAACAGGAAAAAATGTATGTTGGACTGTGGGCATCTCGAAGTGCTATGTATTACATGTTTCTTAATCCAATGTATTATTGTTATCGCTATGAAAGCCAAACCATATCATACAATAATACATATATGTATAGTGTATATAAAAATTGTAAAAAATAATTAAATCAAAATAAATTATATATTTGAATTTATATATTTCTTTTATTCAAAAATATATAATTACATATGGAATTTTTTTCTTCATACGACAAAAAATAATCATGTATGCTCATCTTCAATAATTGTTAAGTGCTTATAAATAAATATACGAAGTAATGTAAAAAATGTAGAATTGAATTTTTTTCATAAAAAATGAATTCCTGAAATTTGTGCGTGTACTTTTAAATTTTAATTCAAAGATATTAAAAGTAACTATTCTGAATTACCTCCTTATTATGATAAGTTTTAACAAATTTTAAATTAATAAAGTTTGCCAGCTTATCATACGCTTTCGAAATCCACCAAAATCCAAAACTCGAATAATGACATTAATACACACACGCGCGCTCACACACACACACACACACACACACACACACACACACACACACACACACACTAATATTAATATTAATAAAATATTCTATATAATTATATACTATTTGAATATAAATAGTTTAGAAATTTTAACATTATACATAAATATTTAAGCTGTGTAATGCATTCTACGTTTGCGTAATAATATTAATTTTACATGATTGTTTTATTGATTATGTAATAGTTAGTAAGAAAATTGTAATTGTAAATATTGTAGGAAACCACTGAATGAAAATTTTTCTTTTTACGAGCATAATAAACGTAACCTATCTTCCCGCGTCCAAATCAACTTACCCTTATAAAATTCCAAAATTCCTTACTTTCGAGTTTTCAGATTTTCCAACAAATTCACGATCAGCCGAACAATGTGTTGAGAGTTCGAACAATAAGGCAACAACAGAATTCATATAACTTCTTAGTATTTTGTAAAAACTCTTTATCATCTTACCTTATCATCTTCCTTGTTTATATTAATAATATTTTTATACGACAACTAAACAGTTCGCCCTAGATATTCGTTTTGCTTTGATTTTGCGATTTGCAATCGCTGCTCACGATTAACGAACAGACACGATTAGGTTTTGCACAACATGAAAACGTGTATACTGCAGTAACGGACTTAACAGCAGCCCTTTATCGATCTTCTCTAAGAGTCATGCGTCTCGTTCTCTCTTATGTTAAATTTAAATGTGCAGCTGATCTACAGTGACGCTAATTTCATCGTTGACTACGTCTTATTAAATATAGCATTACATTAATATTATTGTTTTAAAATTTATGCTAAAATTTAAAATTTAGCTGTGGATAGTTGTTGAAACACATAATATGCTTATGTTATTCTATAATTAAATCTAGCGTATGTGATACTTTTAATAAACACAGCCGTGAAAAAGCTCTTCGACATTTCTTTGACAAATTCACGTATTCAATGATTGTAATTTAAAAAGTTATTAAAAAATCAATTTTCCATTTTAAAAACTCAAATTTGTTCTTTAACCGCGGATGATATTCATTTTTACATGATACAAATAATGATTTACTATATTTTAATTCTCTTTTATTAAACAGCTTGATCTAAAATATTAAATTATAATAAAATATCATTATATTATTGACTTGTGAATTTATCAATATAAATACTGGTCAAATTGTTTAAAGTATACAGTGAACTGTATTTTAATAACTTCAAATTTAATTACTTTTTTAGTATTAATATATATATCACTTGTAATGGGTATATTAAATATTTATTGTTAAAAATTTTAATTTATATACAGAAAATAAGGCTAAATTAATTATATATTTTTACTAAATTTTTAATAATCGATCACATTTAAAAATGTTATTTTATCCTTGTTAAATTCTTATCTAGTATTCAAACGTTGTTCTCTTTCCATGAGTCTGCGCTCTCTTTCATATTCTTTCATTCTTAAAACATAACTGAAATGTAAATAAATTATATTAAATATTAAATATTTAGAATTTCAAAATTTATACCTCACAGATATTATAGAAGTTTCTAATTTAAAAATAGTAATTTGCAAAAGTATTAATTTCATAATACTGACTGATTGAATTAATTTATGGCTTAAGAACCACAGAATTACTTTAATACATAAATTATGAAAGTTTGTGTGCCAACGTTATAAAATTTCTTTGTGAATTAATCGATACTACTTACTCATCAAAATAACACATACTGGCTGCGTGAGATTCTGATTTACATTTCCACATAAAAGGAAAGTGATCCATTTTACATCTTTCCAATTCGAGTAGCTTATCTGCACAAAAGTCCCATTTTGCTTTTGGGATTTTGCACGCTCTCAATTGGGCCTCATTAATATTAGCAACTAAAATTAAAATAATATATATTTTAAAAATTATAAGACATAATTATCGTTAAATACTGGGAATATAATTTAAATATGTAATAACATATAATTATTTATGTTTTAAAGCCAACATATGTAATTGTATTTAAATATAATATCAACAATTAAATATTGATACTTAAAGCTTACTCACTAAATTTACTAGCAACGTTCTTAAAATATTTAAATTAAATTATGCGTTATTTGTTCATTTACAAGGAAGTAAAACAATCAAATAATTAAACATTTTTTTCTGAAAAATCAATTCAATTAATTAACACAACTTCTGATAAATTACTATAAGTATCTAAAAATATGTTGTGCATTAAAATAGCCACTATACTTTATTATGTCATAAAATATAAAAAATTAAAGTTCTTTCTGAATGAAATAGTATCTATAGAACAGAAATATTTGTTTCATAAGGATAATTATAATTAATCGAACATTTTCATACAAATTATTATACAAATTAATTTTAAATAGAATTCACTTTAGAAAAAAATACCTTTGAGGTTAAAATTGTTGCCACTTACCTCTTTCCTTTCTTTCTCCAATTCCAAGAAATGGATCAAATGTTATTGGTCCATCGGGTATTGGATATAATTCTGGATGCCAGTATCTATTCCATGATCGAAATATTGAATCAAACATTTTTACAACAAAAACTTTATTTTAAAAATTTCCCATGTACCTACAAACACAAATATCCGACTAAAATTAAAAATCCCAATCCTGTCACTCACACTTTACCATAGTATCGGGGCATTTGTGCTGACATCTATTAAACATATCGAAACTTTTATGCTTTAATGCTTTAGGAAAACTTTTTAAAAATATATTTTGCATAAATATACATTTGCATCACAATTATGAGAATAATGAATTAATAAGATGAATTTCGAGGCATTTTTAATTCTTTGACATAAAATAGAAAAACCTTTATTTACTATTAAGCAGCCTTTTTAATTAGCATAATTTTATTTGGGTTTGGATTAATAATAAAACAATATTTGAAAATATCGAAAAATTTATTAAAATGCAGCTGAAAAAAACAGTAAATTAATATTCCGTTAAGATATATAATAATTATATTAACTAAACCTTTGCTTCTGGACCATGGCATTGAAAATGTTTATTCATCTTTTAATTATGTACAATTTTAACAAACTATAAATAAGTTTAATCATGAAATGAAAGTACATTTATAATTATCATTGGTGTAGTGAACTTATTAGCTTAATATTTGATTGAAAGTAGCAATTAAGATGTAGTTTTTTCTGTTATGCCTTAATAAATACGTTTAAAGTTAGTTGAATTGACCTTAATCTTCGTCTTCTTCTATAGTATCTATGTTGGGATTTCCTACACATCAAAAACCAATATTAATTAGTATATTAGATATATTCTAAACTAACAATTGTAAAAAATATTTTCTTTGTAATATACAACTTGGTGTTTTAGTAGATATTGATGAAGAACGGTATTTGAACAAGTAATAGAAAATTTTTTTAATTTTACAATTCAAATGAAGGAAAATCAAACATATTTTCCATTATATAAATTATATTTCACTACAATAATCTTCAACAAAATTATGTTGTAGTAAAAAAGATAGATCTATAAAAATATGTATTAAAATTATATGAAATGTATGCATATATATATATATATATATTTGGTGCGTTCATATAATTAAGAATTGCAATGAGATATTTTAATAATTTATGTTCATATTCTATTGAGCCAATTTATAATTATTTCAATCTGGTAAGATAATATAATAGAAAATAAACAAAATAAACCTATAAACAAATAAGACAATAATTCAAATATATCATTATCAATTTGATGTTTTGAATGTATTTCCGAGCGGTATTAAAGTATTATTCTATTAATACATTAATGTGCGCATATTAATTTATAAAAGATTTTATTTTTAAAAAATTTCAAAACTATTATTTATACAAAATCTAATGATCGTTTAACCGATTCAAATTATACATATATGCATATGCATACGTACATATAATTAATATAAGATATTTCAGAATTTTTATCCACAAAGTAATTCTAACAAATACACTTGTGAAGTAACTATTAATCATACAATATTAAATATAAAACTATGTCAACACAATATATTTTTAATATATATATTTATGAATTAACTAATTTCATACCATTATAATGCCTGTTTTCTCCTGGAATGTAACCCGACTGTAGTAGTTTACTAAGTCTTTGAACTTCTTCCAATGATGTAGCATTGGTAATAGCCTCTCTAATCTTTGCCCTATCGTTGATACTTATAGCTGGTTTGTCCATTCCATTTGCACCCTGTGCCTGTGCTTTGGCTTTCTTTGATATTTCCTTTGTAATTTCTTTGCCCTTTGGACTTTTGAAAAATGTATTTGCTTCGATACGCTCCTTTTGTTTTATTTTTCTAAAATCTAATAGCTTTAATTGTGGTAGTTTATAGACAACATATGGTCTATAATAAGATTTAGCAGTAATTGGATTTTGTAAGAGACATAAATTTGTGAAGTTTTGTAAAGAAATCAGTGGTTCAATATCGCCAAGCTCTTGTATCATATTTCCTGTTAACATGAGTGTTTCAAGATTAGGTATACAATGCTCCAAACCATCACCAATTCTAACTATGCGATTGTTATTGAAGAATAACGTTTTGATACGTTTAAGTAGAGGAAATCCATCCAGTTTCCTTACATCATTATCTGAAAAATCTATCGTATCAAATTGATCCTGTATATAAAGATTCCAAATTAATTTACGTATAATATAAATAATGCATTATTAGCATAAGGGTAATCGAAATAAGTTAAATTAAAAAAAAATTATATATTTTCTAATTGAAACATAAATACATCAATCCCCAATAGCATACACAAAGATTGTATTTATTAAATCTCTTAGATATTAAAGTCAATATTTAATTTCATATGAAGGTGACAATGGACTTGAAGTTAATATACATTTCAAATAATGATTGAAAATTACTAACCAGCGTTGCTCCTAAATTTTCTATCGTCGGTATTTTATATCCTAAAATACACAAGCATAGAACATTATCATTAATATTAATTATAATATTACATTATAAGGGATATGCATTAAATTTAGGCTATGTAGGAATTGAATTTATATACGTTATTACGAACCTCTAAGATCTAACTCGCGATCTCTAACCGGATTAATATACTGCATCGATTGCTGAATCAAATCTGGAGTTAATTTTACCATATTGTAGCTAAGAATTCGACATATAATCAAAACCCTTCAAATCACTCAATAACAAGTATCAATAACATGTAATAACAATCTTATTTCCAAGTCAACTATAACCACAAAAATCTGAATTCATCACTAATAATCAAAACGCCTGCTCGCGGCGTCTTCATATTGAATTTACGAAATTTAGAATTCCAATTCCCACGGAAAATGAAACGATTCGAGTTCGCGCGGAATTTGAAACGGAATTTGGAGTTTGTTTGCAATGTCATAAGGATTTTGGATATTTTGAGTTTAAATTTTAAATCGTAACAAAAGATGAATTTATTTCTCACAAAGGGAGAAAGAGATTTATCACTTTAAGCTTATTACAGTTGATAGTCGGATGATTGGATTCGAATTATTAGAATAATAAATGTAGCCATCAAGTTTTGAGTCGTTCATGAGCCGAATATGGAAATCCAACTTTCCTACTCCTATTGATATTATAACATCTTATTTGCCTTTATAACCGACGCTTATAAATAAATCAGTTTAATTAAATTATATATCAAGTATCTATCGATTCTAGTTTTCCTAATTTTATTACCTCCTTTCTTCAATTCATACTCCCTTTCTCGCTCTCCTTCTCTCTATCACTATTATTAAAGACTAATGTAAACTCAATATGGTAATATGTTAATATGTGATTCTGTTAAAACAACTCATTGTTCGAGAAAAATTTGATCATATCAATTGTTATAAAATTAGTCGGACTAGAATGTCATTCTTCTGACATCATTTCTTAATCATACAATACATATATGATTCTGTCAACAAAAGTGCGTGATAAACGAATCCAAAAACATGAAGTACAAATTGTCGATGGTAATATTGAAAACTATTTCACATAATCTAATTATAAAAAGAAATATGAATCCAAATAATTAAAATACCTAACATTAATCAATTTTATTCAATGATATATTCTTTAAAATTTAATGTAAATATTTTTTAAAAATTAAAACAAATGGCATAATAATTAAAAAATATTTTATCACAATTGATATAAATAGTACGATAATATATACGTATTCAACTACATTTAATCTAAATATCAAGAGTAAGTTATTATTGATTAAATATAATCAATTATTAGCGTAATATAATTGAAATAAATGTGAATCTATGCTGATTTACATAATTCATTGCGTGCAGCCTTAATCCTTCTTTAGTATTTAATCATTAACATCGGGACAGATATTTTAATATTAACTAAATTATGTGGATAAATAATGCAAAAATCATTGCTTTATGAACATGTAAAATATATGTCGCTTATATGTTTATAATTATCATGAATAAGAAATTTTGTATTTTTTACGAAACTGTCAAAATTTACTGAAATCCTTGCTTCATTTTTTTTTAAAGAAAAATTCACTGTCGTTAATTTATTTATTAAAATCAATCGTTTTTCACTAATCACTTAAACATTTTTTCACCAAGTTTGGTTTCGAATAATATACTCTGTTTACACCATATGTCATATATATATATTCCATGCTAAAAAATCATCTCGACTAGGTCATTTAAAATTTTTAATGCATGAATACAACACTAAATTAATCGTGTTCCAATTGATTAATCCTATTTTATCGCGTAGGCTCATATTAAATATAAATACACAAAATATAAGTATATATAATTAATAGTATTCAATTTTAATATACAGAAAATTACAAAGTAAATTTAACGTTTAAAAAACAGTATGTCTAATATAATTATACAAAACAAAATTATATTAACATATATAAACTAACAAAATTACAGAAACTGTAAATAGAACTGACAATGAAAATTCTACTTTCGATTGATATATATTTATATTTTAAAAAATTTTAATAAAAATATATAATAAATCATTTGATACATTTTATATTAAAACTGGCTTTGAATAAAATGATTTAGAACAAAATATTTCATACGTGGCTATTATTTTTCAAAACATTATTACTCTATCTTCTATTCATTTTAATGATAATTTAAAACATAAAATATTCTTATATAATACAGTTATCAAACTAATTGTTCCTAATAGATACAATGGTAAAAATGAAAATATCTTCAATTTCTTGTTAGTTATTATGAGGAGCATGAATCAATAAAACTTAATTTCATGAGTGTCAAATATCCAGAATTTTGATATTTAATAACAAAGTTCTGGTAGTAATTCTTCGAAATAATGTATAATTTCATTCAAAATCATGTAATTGTAAATTGTAAACAATTAAATTTTTTGTAACTACATATAATGTATTTATAATATTATGTAATTGTATATTTTTATGTTATAAAAGTTGTAATAAAGTGAAACCTATTAATATACAAGTATTTGTATGAAAAACATTGAAAATGATTCACAGCCTAAGTTTATACACGGTTAAATTATAATGCCTTCGAAATAAAAACAACCATTTCAAAATTTTGTAATAATTTAATTAAAATCAAAATGTTTAATTTATAATAATCGTTAATGAACACATGACAAGAAATGAAAAATATATTGAATAATAAAAATAATAACGCAATTATTTTTAACTTTTACATTTAAAAAAGTGGTCTACAGAATTCTATTTATATATATGTATATACATAACACAACGGTCTTAGGACATTTTGTAAATCATTGAGATTTTCTGTAGCGATTTAAATTTTAAATCATGTTAGTTGTTTAGTAACAAGTGATTATGACATTTTCCAAGGCATCGTATATACCTCATTATACTTCTATATCAAACATTTTCCAAGCAATTTAAATAAATTACTACTCTACAAATTAAAGAAAACAGTATTTAGACAATAATTTTGAATGCTTGAATTTCATTGTTTCCCATTATAAATTAATATTGTATTTATAAATAGCTACCGTTGTATGTAATTCATTCACCATTTCATTACTTTTTTCTATCTTTGTTATAAAGTTTATTTTAAAAGAAGAATTTACCAATACACTCGTTCTTACACTTATAAACAGAAATATAAAAATTTCATCTCCTTAACACTAAGTATTTGCATGTAATGTGCCTTAAATTCGTACGCAGCATAAAAATGTTTCATGCGCAAGCTTAATTGTTAGTAATTTAAAGTTTATCTTCTTAATATAATTTTTATAAATTCTTTCAAACACACAAATTCATTCCAGTTGCGCTAAAGCTTTTACGAATAAGAAATTTCCTACTTAATAGCTTATTCCAATACAGAATAAAGAATATTCCCTGTCGGTCTCTCATAATCTCTCTTTCCTTTTCTTGCTCCTTCTCTATCTCTATCTCTCTCTCTCTCTCTCCCTTTTACAAAGCTTCAATAACAATTCTGTTATATTTTTTGTCTCATATTTGATTTTTTGAGACATTGCAAATATGACTAATTATTAGCGAACTCCACTCTTTGAATGTGCTATCAGCCATTGTAACGTTATATCAATATTGTGTTTTTCTTTGCATGAAATAATGTAACAGCATATTTCACGATCCAAAATTGCTGAAAGATTCCTATTAAATGACAAGAGCAGATAATATAAATTATTAGTATATTATAAAATAATCTTCGTTTTTTTGAATTTAAAATAACAATTATAAAAAAAAACAACTTACATTCTATCTATAAGCTTATCTTCATTATATGCCTTAGGTAAATCCCTTTTATTTCCTAATACCAATACAGGTATACCAGCTAACTGGGGCTTGTCTAGTAAATTGTGTAGTTCATTGCGACTAGCTTCGATCTTATCCGGATCAGCTGCATCCACCATATAGACAATGGCATTGACGCCCCTACAGTAACGCTCCCACATTGATCGAAATCTAGGTTGGCCGCCAATATCCCAAACTTTAATAGTTACATTGCCTTTTGTGATTTTACGCATGTTAAATCCGACGGTTGGAATCATGTCTTCGTTAAAATTACCAGACTAAAAAATATTCAAACAATGATTTCAATCAGAAATTTAAATTAAAGTAAAATTGATGACAGTTTATAATAATTGATTTTCAAATTTACTCAATAGATCCTCAATACTCAATTGAGTATTAATACATTACAATACGTAAGAGAAATCTATAATTTCATTCCAATAAATTTATAATTTTTTTTTAATAAGGCCTGATAAAAGAGAATGTAAAATAATTTGAAACGTTTGACAACAATGACATTTGAAAATCATTCTACAGCATTAATTTTAAACCAAATAGAAAATATCAATGTATAATATAAATCTATGTATACGAAATTAAAATTTGTAAATACAATTTATAATCATGTTGTTTTCCATATTGACTTTTATTTAAAAGAACTTTAATTCAAGTAAATATATTCATTAAATCTCAGGGAGAAATGTCTTTTAGAATATAATTGATATTTACCTATATTAAGTTATAAAATTTCAATATTGATAAAATAACGATAATTATATAAAGCTAGGCTTTTAAATTTTGAGTAATATGAAAATAATGTTACAGACGTACAAGAATTTCAAGAATGATTCTTCTAGGAATATTAAGGTGATTATCAAAACAATGATACGATAACAAAATTTCTGTAAACAAAAATTCTGAAATATTTGCTCGATTTAACATTAAATTATAATAATTAAATAATATCTGTCTAGTTGTAAAGTGATTTTTATTAGCTTTGAATTTTCTATTAATTTGTGGTTAAAGCCAAGGTAAATTTTTTTTTACAATTATTCGATAAAAATAAATAAAGGAAGCTTTATTCAATCAATGTAGATAGTTTTGATTGTCAGACAGGAAAGAAAATTTGTAATGATCTAAGGGAACAAGGTTAAGAGATATATTAATAATAAGACTACTTAAAATTTTCAATGTTAATTTCATAATGGCATCGATCGATATTTACATAAAATAAACTGTTAGCTTATTTCGCTGTAATATACCATATTATAGTAGAAAATTAATTATGCTTTGATATATTAAAGTAGTATTAATAAGAGACATGCGACAATTAAACAAGTTTAGATTTCAAGCTTAAAACATAATAGAATAAGTAAATTGACAACTCATATAATATGTAAATTCACAATGGTATGATAAATAAGATGTACAAATGAAGTCGACAAGACACACGATGAGTCACAATGTCACATTATCAAAGAAGTTTATGCAAAACGTCAGCTAAGTTGCTCTAAGCTCAGGCAAAAGAATTCTAAAGTCTCCCATGCACTTGTAAATATTTAGATTGCTTGAGAGCAGGAAAATGGCATTTGGGGGAGGGGCGGGTAACCTAAAAAGCTTATTGCATTCGCTTGACACTCGATGTGCGCGCAGCAAAGGGTGAGACGACAAAGGATCATGAATCGTCATACCGCGATGACGTTGACGAAAGTAGTCTTGCCGCTATATTGAAGCCCGACAAGAGTCAGCTCCATTTCTTCCTTCCAAAAGAGGGACTTAAACCAGTCAAGGATCCGATTGATTAGCGCAAGCATCTTGACAACTAGAGTACTTTTCCTATTACGACGTTTCCCCGACAGTCGTGCCTGTAATGCCAATTCACGACGGCTTCAACGCCCGTTTATGCGTATATGTAAACCCGCACGTCTAGATGTGTCCGGAGACTGTAACCAAGCAAGCGAGGCAAGCAGACAGGCGTGTCTATGTATTTAATCTATCTGTGCATGTACGCGCGGCTCTCTTTATCCGTATATCAATCTTGTGATTTTACAGGTGCAGGCGACGATCAATCTATTTCACCTTCCACACCGAATGACGAGCGAAAGACTATGGAGGAGCACCGAGGAGGACGTTCCGGTATCGCGCACCCGACTAATCGAGCAACACACTAATCGATGCACATCCGCGATGCTGATTTAGACAGCAGAGTAAAGCGAAAGAGTTAGTCGTCACTCGAAGCAGAATAGAATGACGTCTCAGCAGGTTGCGTATGCCGAGGTGCTTTGCGACCACGCACACATCTTCGCGCGCCACTCTACACGCATTAGTTAGCTACCGTACGTGTAGTAGAAGCCCTGACCGTAGTGCGGCGCTTCTGCAAATATTTTGGATTAAGTTCGGTGGAAGAGCTAGAAGAGAAGGCATGGATGGGCTCAAACTGATGTGCTAAACTACTTTTATACTATGCAGTTGTTATGCAAGCATGTAAAGACGACTCACTAGTGGGATATTGCACTGTCTAACCCACGCATTCGCGCATATCTCTGGCATAAGTGATGGATGATGCTCCGTGCCTGACTATCATTATTAGTCATTGGGTGAGTAGATTATCGAGGGGCCGATAAGCGACGATCAAACGCATTATCGCATTACCATTATTTGCGCGAGCTAAAATAGCGAAAGGATTTGAATTTGAATATCATGTGATTTACAATATTTTAAGCTCTTTCTTTTAGAATATTTTCATAGACGATGATTTAGTGCCTTTGTTGGACGATTTATAATAAAAAATTATTAAATGTAAATACTATTATATTTACTGATATTTACTGATAATGAATATTGTTCATGAATCTTTTTACATAATCAATCGCCATTTATCTTTAACATTTATCTTTAACGCTGTTTAATGTTGTTGTTAAATGCAAATTATTACAAACAGTATGAGCTAAAAAAAAAAAAAATAAAAAAAAAAAAAAACAACATACGTAAATAGGGTAAAATTTAAAAATAAAATCTATTAAATCAGATATTATTAATAGCACATCACATAGAGTTGGATGAAGAATTTTTAGAGGACTAATATGAAGTTTAAAGAAATGTATTGCATTATTTCGAGAATATAATAAATATTACCATTCCCTATTTTAAACAAAATTTGTTATATTTCATTCTTTAGATGTACCACAATTTTTCTACGAATTTCTCAGAAGTAACTTTTTTTTTTCTTTTTATTTATTTAATCCTTTTTCGTATATCATGAATATATTATGGTATTTATATTAATTTTAAAAACTTATTTAAAAAGTGAATAATTGTGCATTATTACCAATTAATTATGCTTTGAAGTATAAGAATCATTTAAAAATTGTTTTATAAAATCTTTTATACAAAATGGAAAATAAAATAGTTTATATTTTTCAGCAAATAAAATGTTTAAAAGTAATACATATATTAATGATTATAAATTTGGTATTAATGTATAATCATTATACACACACACACATACACACACACACACACACACACACACACACACACACACACACATATATATATATATAGAAAAATTTACTATCTATCTAATTTATTATCTATATTGTAAACATTATAGCAACTCTGTTAAAACATATAAAATGTATGTGTATTTAATGAATTGTGTAAAAGAATTATTAAAATAAATCAATAAATAAATAAAAAATAATAATAAAACAAGTATATTAAAATATACAATTTTTGATCATTTGAATTAATTTTATGCACTATTCTAATACTCAATGCCAACAATATTCATAAAATGATCTTATAATATTTTCACCTGCATTTGTAATTTATAATGATATTTCATGAAAAGAAAATATTTAGATTCAATTATTATTGATTATATCGATCTCTACTTCAAATATTATATATAATATTTAGAATAATAAAATTACTGCTAATAAAGGTCAAGACTGCAGTAAATCTTTAATACAATAATTTACTTACCTTTCCTTATTGGCCTTTCAAATATACAATTTTTGTTTTTGTACGTACACGCTCAAAATAATTTATAACGAAATATTCCATTATATTTCATTATTTCTTATATTTAATTATATTTCATTCATTAGTAATGTAAGCAAAGGATACGAACTGGATTTAACAGATAAACTATAGAATTTCTTCATTGATAATTCATATTAATTTCCATAAATCACAGACTGTTTATATTTATATATTTCAATAAAATATACTTTATGGAAAATTAAATAATTCTTAATTCATTTTTATTAGTCGAAATAAATAATTTAAACAAGAAATAGTGAAATAAAAAACATATTTTAATTATTATATACACTGATATTTAAAATTTTACGAATTTATCATTATAAAAAATCCTTGGTTTTACTTAAAAATCAGTTTTAAATTAACATTGTCGGATAACATAATAATATTCATACATATTCAAATAAATATACAATTAATTGATATTTCAAAATCTTATTTATATTTGTAAATTGATTTTTTTTTTTTTTTTTTTTTTTTTTTTTTTAATAAGTATTCTCATATTGTTAATCTTGTAGTTGAACGTTAATTCATTAGCTATTACAGTATGAGAAAATTTTATATTAATCAATAATGTATATTTAAAATAATAATAATAATCGATTTATTTCATTACTGATACATATCGCTTCATGAATTACAGTTTTTCATTTACTATTCCATATCTTTGTCTTCTAATAATAAATTTTTATTAGTTTAATCAAATATGTATTTTACCATCATCTATATGTGAAAAAAATAATAATCTGTAAAACTTGAATATTGGCATTCTATATATTATTATAAGGATACACATCGCATAATGATGTGATGCCTTCAAAATTTTTCATGATGTCGATATTGCGAGTTTCTAGTAAAAACGTTAACTTTATTTTGCTATTTATTTTGATTTACATCTTGCTCTCACTCCCTCCCTCTCCCTCGCCCTCCCCCCACTCTTTATAACAATCCTCGATTTTTCTCATTACCTCTCTATTATAGATATTCTAAATACATTTGATCTCTCTCTCTCTCTCTCTCTCTCTCTCTCTCTCTCTTGTTATCTCATTTTCTAAAATTATACAATATTAATACATTTTAAAAAGTAATGATTCATTATATCCAATAAGAATATTATACAAGTAAAATGTCATCAAAAAAGAAAAAAAAATTCAATCCAACGTATACGCTTATGAAAATTTCATATTCAACATCAGTGACCACATTAGCCATGGATACTTGCAACAATATAACTGTGCATCGCTAGTAAAACTTTACTGTATTTACATATACAATGTATTTAACATGAAAATTGAGATATGGAACTTATTATCATTTGTTTTCTAAAAGTATTAATAATGATGATGACAATAATGGTAATTATGATAATAACAACCACAATAATAATAATTACTTTCTGCCCATTTATTTATTTTTATTTGTGCTTGAACGCGCGGACAAACTTTTCTATCTTCTTTACTTTTTGCATTTTTTATTTTTATTCAACAAAAAGCACATTAAAAATAGTTTTCTAAAGTCATTATTAAATTTGTTAGAATTAAATAAACGCGTACGTTTTGCGTGTCCATATTTAATTTGTGCGAAAGTTTGTTTACATATATAGTATAACAATAATCTGCACGAATTTAAGTAAAATATTTCCCAGGAGTATTTTCAAACAATTCTTGGTAAAAATGATTGAAACAAAAACTTTTCAAAGGTTTCTAAGCGTTTGTTGTGCAGAGAAGTACTCCTAAGATAACGTTCTTATAATTCACAATTTGTAAACAGATTGTACTCTATAACTTTCTTCATTATTTTTACCGAATGAGTAAAATATACATTTTATTTACAATTACTTTCTGTAAATTTATATGGCCCTTGTTTTCTAATCACTCCTTGTCTGCTCACCCAATTTTTTCCATTATAAAGTCACATTACCTAACATTACCATTATAATGCAAATAAATGCAAGAACAAATGCTTATACGATGTATTTTACCCATTTGATAAATAAGGACTTTTTCAACGCTTAAAACACTACGAGCAATAAATTTGACTTCACAAAACTGCATTAACTGTTGGTCAAAATAATATTCCGTCGAATTGATAATTTTTACAGTTTATCGCAGTTATACAACAAAGAACAATTCCAAATGACTCAAATGTACACACATACACACTTTTACAAAAAATTGCATTAATATTTTATTCGTTCATTGGAACGCTTGTTATTATTTATAATAAGTTTACCATACATGCGCACTCCTTTGCATCGTTTTCTTTTTTTTTTTTACTTATGTACGGAGCCGCGCCTAAAACGATGACTATATATTTAAAGGTGCGTATAATCGCTTCTCGTGTATTTATAATTGACCACAATCATGGTTGTTTAAATCTATAAACATATATGATTATGTACTTGGAAGTTGAAAAACCATCATCTCTTTCGAGATTTTTGATTTTTAAACGCATTTCACTATTATTATTTCTAAAATTATTTAAATTTATGCTTCATTCTCTACTTTATTATTTTTTTTTTCATTCCCCCCCCCCCCCCCCAGATGGATGGCTTTTATTACTTTTAAAAACGTGAAATTTCTTATTTATTTGCCTTACAATAAATATGCAGATATTTTTCATGTAATATAATATTATACGACTTATTGCTTAATAAATTTCAAATTTATGTAGGAATTTAAAAAATAAAGGCATTAAAAGATTGTTTTCATTCTGATGTAACTAAGGCTATCCATCTTCGATTCATTCTTATGCAATCGGTGAGACACATACAAGAGACATTTTACATTTTGCTTTACAGTTTGCAGTGCAATAGCACCGGTTTCAGTGCAGTTTTTTCTTTCATTTTTCTCACCGAGTATCGAGAACATTCTTTTTCATCATATTTTTTAGGCACAGATTTGAGATGTTTTTTCTTTTATTACACATTTCTAGTATAAAACTAACCTATCTATGTACAAAATATTTCGACGCAGGGCAAGGCCACGAAAGATTTTTTATTTTTTTCTTGTTTTTCTTTCTATGTCGAGATCTAAATTACAGAGGAAAAATTACATGGATACAAAGTAAACCTGAAAGATTATTCAATGATACGTTGTCTGTACATTGTGATTTAATTATTGTTGCCAAGCCCTTTACTAAAAAAAAAAAAAAAAAAAAAAAAAAACATCGAGATGCGTCGAAGTAGAATGAAAAAAAGTCATATACAATATGTGTACATAGTTTTATCGATCGCAATAACTTTGTTTCTCTTTTATCATTATTTATATACAAAAATTGGTGGTGTTAAACTCGCACTCTTGGTGTGTGTGCCGATTCTCTTTGCTACTCCATCAAAATTTCGTTAGCTTATCAATGTACTCGATGCATTCGATATATAAAGTTTTAGAAATGAGACATGATAAAATTGTGCTTTTGAGCTTCCTCTCTCTCTCTCTCTCTCTCTCTCTCTCTCTCTCTCTCTCTCACACAATTTACATTGAATTGCGAT